GATGGAGCTTCGGCCATAGTGAGTCGAGAATCCAGCCACCGCTTTATCATGAAACCCCTGCCCTTAGTACTCTCCAGAAACCTTTCAGGACCAATTTGCAGATAAAAAAACCATTACAGCCCAATTAAAAAATGGAGGCAAGAATCAAAATTCATTAATTACATCAACCAAATGGCAATTGCAATTTTCACATCAAAACAAAAAAAAAATTAATAAAAAAATAAATTTACCCTGACAAACCCGCGACACATCTATCATCTGTCGGAAGTCTTTGAAGTTGACCCTCCAGTTGCTACCTAAGTCCACCATGACGATCATACTCCGGTACTCCTCCGACGTCTTCACCTACTTCAGCCCTAGCGCCGCCGTCACGACCTCAGCTCATCCGCCGTGAATTGATGAAGCCGCCCTGTCCCGATCAAAAACCCTAAACACCTCCCGTATGTACTCTTCACCAACCCCTCGTCGCTTCCGCCATCACCACTACCACATACAGGGCACCGAACTCCTCAGCGTCCAACTGGGCATCCCCGTCGGCATCAACCTTTCCAACCATCAGCCGTAGCTTCTCCTCTAGCACGCAAATCCCGAGATTCTCTAGCAAATCGGTGAGATCCTCCCGGCTGGTGTTGTCGCCGCCGGACATCGAGCGTGGAGAATAACCGATGGAGCTCCGTCGTTCCCATCTCCTCTCGTGGCACCTAATTGGAGAATTTTTATGGATTTGATTTTGATCGGTCCATCTAAGTTTTTCCATCAATAATTTTGAGAGAGATTCAAGAATTATTTTGGGGGAGATGGGGTAAATTTGTTTGGATTTCATTTTGATCGGTCCATTTAATTTGGAGAGAGATGCCGATTTTTTTTTCCTTCTTTAAAAAGAGTTGCAGAGAATTATTTTGGGAGAGATAAGGAGAATTGGTCAGGCTGTCCATTTAAGTTCCCATCAATAATTTGTAGTATAGATTTTCAATAATATGACATATAGCAAAATAAATATGCTTTCTTTATATATTAGAATTTAAAATTTTGAATGAAAAATAAGTTGAGCGGGATTTCTGATTTTTTTCGAAAAAATTACTTAATTTAGTAATTTTGAAATTTTTAGGCGGGATTTCTACTTCTATTTCAGGTAAATATCAAACCTTTTTATATTTATATAGATATGAACCGTAGAAAGTTACGTGAATTGGATGATCCATAAGTTGTCCGGGCATTGAAGATGCACTATTTAAGCAATAAAGATGCTCAAAATTCTCAAACTCCACATTTTTAACAAGTGATCATTCCTGGTTTTTTCAAGGTAATTTCTTCGCCTTGTCTAATTAATATCCCTTCCTATTATGATTTTTTTCGAGCTTATGTGGACATTATTAGATCTTCTTAATGGGAAATGCTACGACCCCGTTACGAAATCATTCTGTCGGGGTTTGTTACAGTTATCGACTTATTCTCAATGGTTACATGATTATTTAACAATTACAAATCTCGACGGAATGATTCCGTAACGGAACCGTAGCATTTGGCCTTCTTAATAATGTTCAGCAGTCTGTTTATGACGTCGTGATTTTATGTGTCAAATTAAATATAGTATATTTGTAGACATTTGACTAAATATTATAGATATAATTTAATATATTATTTATTTATTTATTTATTATATTTTTGCCAGTAAATACTGAAACATGGAAAAATAGGACATCGTGTTTTTATTTAGATAAAAATAAAAAATAAAAAAAATAGCAACAAATAAAAAATAAAAAAACAATTTATAAAGAATGAGAGCTGTAAGTGAGAATTTCGTGGAAAGCTCTTGATTTTACATATTGTATCAAAAGACTCAAAGTTTATAAATTTTCAATTCGAGGCTTGAAAATGGTTCTAAAATTAATTAAGTCTTTATGAAATGAAAAATAAAAATAATAAAAATAAAAAATAAAAAATTCTGCGTACTCTAAATACATCCCTTCATTTTCTTAGATCCTTGTTTAAAATAAAATATAAATTCATAATTAACTCATACTAATTGAATTATAATTTAAACCAAATAACAATTAAAATTCTAAATTTTACTTGCAAAATAGCTCCTCGATGTAACAAAAAAATTAATTTGACTCATTTAGTAAAAGCTAAGCCTTGTGGATTTTTTTTTTTCAAATTATTAAACAATAATTGAGCAACAAAAGCAAAGAAGTTTTAAAATTTTTTGGCACTTTTTAAATTTTATGTAACTCTTTTATCTTTATTAGATTTACAATTAAAAAATAAATAAAAACATGACATAAATGGATGAAGCTTCTTGTTCTCATTTAATTGTTTTTTTTATTTATTAATACAAACTTTTCAATCAATAAAAAAAGTTTATTTTTAGCAACTATAAAATATAACAATAAATTAAGCTATAGAATTCAATTGGATCTTATCTTCTGAATGATTTGATAATTTGAGAAAAATCCATTAGGCCTAGCTTTTTGTAGTTGTGTTAAATAAATAATTTTAGCTATATTGACATCGTAGGAACTATTTTGCAAGTTAAATTTAGAATTTTAATTGTTGTTTTGTTTACATTAATTATAATTCAGTTATTATGACTTAACTAGTACGTACCCCGTGCGATGCACGGGACAAAGATATTAAATTAGTTATTTTCACAGCTTTATCCATTTAAGTCTAAAATATAATAATGTTATTATCTATTTTCTACCTCTTTTAATCAACGTTAAGTCTATTAAGCCCTCATCTGGCAAATATGTATAGAGTTATGTGTCCGTGTCTAATAAGTCACAAACATTATGAATAATATTACAAATTATTCATTTAAACTTTTATTCATTGCAAATATATTAAAATAGTTTATATAACAACCATTAAACACCACTTTCAATATATTTATAAATAAAAAGTACATAAAATTTCTGGTGTGTTCAAATTTAAATAATTTTTATGGGCTCAATTTTAAATCATCCAGACATTTGGTCAAACGCATAGGTGTGTTCAAATTTAAATCATTGGCATTTTGGTCGGTTGAAATTTAAATCATCTACCATGGTACTGTGATGTGTATTATATATATACAATCTTTTTAACAAATAATATGTGCTTTATAAAAATAATAATAATAATTTCACAATATTTTAAACGTAAAATTTGGTTTTTAATCACAATAGAAAAATTATGGTAAGTTGTATTGAAAATGTGTTATGAGATAAAACAGTTAACTAAAATAAAAGTATAGATTATGAATTTTTACTACTAATTCTAGTAAATAGATACTTTTTATATAAGTATAGATTATGAATTTTTATTTTATTTTAAACAAGGATCTAAAAATATGACGTGATGAATGTAGAAGTTAGCATAGTTTTTTTTTTTTTTTTTTTTTTTTTTTTTTCATAAAGACTTATTTTGAGGATTATTTCCAAAATACAAGCCCCTTTTAGAAAATATGTAACATTAAGCCCCGAACTGACAATTAATAAAATTTTAGTCTTAGCTTGTCACAATAGGTAAAAGTAAAATCTAGGGTTTTTTTTTTTTTTCATGAAATTCTCTCCGTAATTACCAAATTTCACCAGAAGTCAATCTATATTTCAAAATTTTGCTAATCAATTCAATTTTAGTCTACGTAGTCTAATTATTTTTCTTTTTCAATAATTTGGCACTACTTAGATTTTAAATAAATTTGTCATTTAGATTAAAATCTATATATATAAAGAGAAAACATATTCACCAAAATTAGTAACAAAAAAATGTCAACCAGCATTTATTGCATTATATTTTTTTATAGTTTTTTAATTTTCTTTTTAAATTATTCCCGAAAAATCAATCAGCTATATATGCACCTTAAATTGATGGGTTTTGTGGATATAATGTAGGTAAATTTATGTATATTAGGAATTTGAAATTAAATAAAATTCATCTCTTTCCACCAATTAAAAAATTTTGAAATACTAGTGTGTTACTCGTGCGATGCACAGACTAGTTTTATTAAGGTAAGAATTTAGATTTAGATGATTAGATGATTTTAAGAACATAAAAAACATGTATTGGAATGAAACAAAATGTAACTTACATATAATTAAACTCATCCTTGCACACAACATTATTTATTTGGTCTTTTGGTACATCGGCTAGCTATCGCCAGAAATTATATTAGGATTCTAGATAGGCTTAAATAAATCAATTAAATTATTTAGCATGATATATATGACATGATTTATACTGGTATTATGAAGAATGCATAGTCAAATACAACGGGGATTGTAAAACATCTTTGTTGATAATCTATAGCTTTATTATTAAATTACTTAATTTAAGGAAGAGAAAATAAATGGAAGAGCATTCAATCCATTTCAAATTTGTATTATAAAGGATTAAACAAAACCAAAACTTTTTAAGATGTTCTAATCCAATTTCATTTTGAATTTCAAATTTGTATTATCTGACTCTGTCTTATGTTTAAAAAACATACAAACTAAAAGTAGTAGCCAAATGGTAAGAGATTTTTAAATTTTAAATTTTAATTTGAAACTGGGCCTGGTTTCTAAGGAATTCGATTTTTTTTTTAATAAACATGATATATTGCAATTAGTAAATATACATGTTATAGTATTTTACCTAATTCGAAATTCCCGATTTTATGGAAAAAAAATTATATAAAAAAAGAGAGAATTTTGTCTTTTACAGAATTGTCGAACCGAATTTGACCTAAATTAGCCCGATTTCTATTAAATTTGATTTTTTTTAATAAACAATTGATATGTTGCAATTAAAAATAGACATATGTGATAATAATTTGCCTAATTAAAAATTCTTGATTTTATGGTAATCTCTTTTTTTAATATATAAAAAATGAGAATGAATTTTGACTTTTGCAAGATTGTATGCATCAGTCAAAATTTACCTAAATTAAATCCACAAAATCTATGAATTTATGGTACATATATAGCTGATTGATTTTTTTGGGAATAATTTAAAAGAAAATTAAAAAATTGCAAAAAATAGAATGTAATAAATGTTGGTTGATTTTTTTGTTACTATTTTTGATAAATATGTTCTCTCTTTTATATAGACTAGTACAAAGCCCGTGCGATGCACGGGGTGCACAATTTTAAAGTTATTTATCCAGCCTTATAATTATATAAATGAATGAAAAAATGTACGACATATATATAGTACGGGACCGGTGCGAGACACGAGATATATTTATTTAGGGAATATTATATTATAAGATGCAATATTCAATAAAAGTTTTATAGTACGCAGGAAAATTATACTCCCTCCTTTTTTAAATAAATGTCGTTTTGACTTTTTTGATTCATCCATTTTGCTATGTATCTAGACATATTAATGTCTAGATACATAGCAAAATGGATGAATCAAAAAAGTCAAAACGACATTTATTTAAAAAAGGAGGTAGTACAATAAAATAGTATCTGACAAAAAAAAATTATATATTATTAAAGACTTCCTTGTACATAGATATTAAATAATTTATTAGTAAAATAGTGTATAAGTTGATTACAATAACAAAACAACATGCTCAAGGGATTAGTAAAAATATTCCATGGATTGAAGATTTAATGGGATTAAATATTTAAATTAATTAACTTAGATAATTCAAAAGCCTTCCAACATTGTTTTGACTTTAATATATTACAGCATGTGTATACTTTAAATATATTAATATTTAAGGAACTTTAAACAACATAATTTTTTAAAAAAATTATTTTAGGGAACTTTAAACAACATATTTAC